ATTTGTTCCAACAGCGCAAAGCTGACAGAACCTGTACCTTTTAAATACAAATCTTGAGTTCTTTCCAATCACCCTGTGTTATAGACTGAATTGTGTGAACCCCAAAATTCATATGTCAAAGCCCTAACACCTGATGTGACTGAATTTGGAGACAGGGCCTTTAAAGGAAGTAATTAGGGTTAAATGAAATCATAAGAGTGGGGCTCTAATACAGTAGGACTGGTATCCTTATAAGAAGAGGAAGACACAGCAGAGAGAAGCACAGGCACCTAGCTAAGTGAGGACACAGCAAGAAGGGAGCCATTTGCAAGGCAAGGAGAGAGGCCTGAGCAGAAGCCAACCCTGCTGCCACTTAGATCTTGGGGCTTATAGAAAACAAATTTCTGTTGTTTAAGCCACACAGACTGTGGTATCCTGTTATGGCAGCACTAGCAAACACATACTGTTACTTCAAAATTAGTACATACAACAATTATTAAGACTTCCCAAAAGGATTTATATTGTATGCCATTTGTAGTTAAAGTAGCAATTCCCTCTGGTAATTCCACCAAAATCTTCAGAGCCAATCCTGAGGTGGATCACTTGATCACATCCATTTTTCTGACCCTTATTTATGAAGAGATGTATGAATAACATGGAGACCACTGCTCTCTACTAGTGTCTCTCTCTACAACGAGATTGACAAACTTGAGTATGAGACGTGCCATAAGTGTGTTCCGATGACATATTCTAGGAATGCAAAAGTTCGGAAGTAACCCGAAAACAAAGAAGAAATCACAGGTCCTACTTTTTGGAGCTATTTCTTACTGAATACTGCTCTATTTCAGTGTATTCTTTGTTTATACTAGATGGTATTTATCAGTCCATACAAATATACATTATCAAAAACTGTATCAACTTTTTTAGCTTTTACTACCCCCCAAAAAGCATACAACCATTACGCCTAACTGGTAACTAGTACATAATAATAATACTGTGTCCCAAACACCGACAAGAGCATTTTAGACACTATTTCAGTCAATCCTCACAATAACCCTACCCTCAGGAGGTATTACTATCCTCTTTCTTACACGTAACATATCACCTTATAGAGTTCTTTGTATTTTATATTCAAATATCTAAAAAATGATAGTGTTGATGTTTCCGGATCCATACATACACTCTCAATCTAAAATTTTCACTACTTCTAGAAGTATTTAAGTCCTATCTAGACATTTACAGAAGAACAAGTATGTTTACATATAGCACAGGATGATAAAGAGAGTCAAACCATATTCCTGAAATCATATGTATTCCCATTAGTAATCCATTGAATTAAGTCACGAATGAGAAATCATCAAATACCATCAGTTTATAGTTCAACTTTAATACACAAGATGTAAAAAAAAAAGCTTTACCTTAATTAAGGTGACCCTCTTAGCTTAGACAAAAAATGAAATTTAGATAGAGTTTAATGGGGGAATACTTATCCTGCAACACTGATCAGCAATCAAGAGACTGACTCCATTGGTTCACCATGGGAGATGGTTTTTCACCCAACATGACAATTTACTGCTATAACTACATCCTTAGTTCTCAGTCTCTCCCATATCTGACACAATTTTATTTCAGATTAACACTATATGAACTATAATGCTTACTGTGTGCAAAGTTGTGTTCTAGGTATTTGGGATTTCCTACCATCTCATTCTGTGGTCTCCTATTAAGTATCATCAAGCTAAAGATACAGAATACAATCTAAAAATATCACTTGACTCAAAGAATATATTAAGTGTACTTCCATTAAAAGCACCAAAAAAATGGTAAAAAGCTCTTACTTCAGAGAATAAAAATACCTAACCTTAAGTAGGTTAAATCAGAATCAAAATTTCATGAACAATAATGCTGGTAACCTATTACAAGCAACAGATTTTAGAAAGCAAAATATAACTTTCTTTTCATGTACTGCATTCATTGTGGGAGAAATTTTAAGACATACTAATGAAATATCAATGGGACCCAAACCATGGGTTTGTTTTCTTTGTGCACTAAAAATCCTTCCTTGTGGTCCTCTCTTCCCCTGTCGCTCAAAGTGGGCCCTGAGAGCAGAAGCACCATTCCTACCTGGGTGCTTGTTAAAAATGCAGAATCTGACACTCACCCCCAACGTGCAGAATCAGAATCATGAGTTTCATGAATCCCCTGAAATTTCACATGGAACTTTTTGTGAGAGAATATATGCACATTTTACTGGAGGAGATTCCATATATATTTATTTTCAAACTCTCACAGTAATACATTACCCCAAATAGATTAAGAACCACTGTCCTACAGGATTCTTTGACACAGTTTAAAAGTCAAAATATTTCAAAAACTATTTGCCCTCAATGAGGTCTGTTGAAGAATGACAAGAATGAAGGTCAGAACGTCACAGTGGGTCACGAAAGACCTTATCTGAAGAATTTATTCACACCATGCAAGAACTATGCCAAGAAACCAGTTTGAAGACATCTAAATAAATAATTCTCTACATGAGGTTTGAGATTAAGAATGTGCACTTGAAGAAGATTCAAACTGAGAAGTAAATAAATATAAAGTAGACATTTTTTTTAAGATAGGATACCATTAGATGACAGTGAAGTTCTGAATTCTTGTTGTAAGAGCTCAATCAGCAAATCTCTAATGTGAATTCTGTTTGATTTGGGATGGGGAGCATTTTAAAAAGTTAACTTCCAAGTACATTCCTCTAATACTTCTTTTATGAGGAGCCCCCAACACACTTTACTAGTCCCACTTTCTTCATCTTCTCTGGACCTCAAAAGATAAAACAAAGAAGAAATATGACACAAAAAGTAACAGGAATGTGCTCAGGGTAGTCAGTGAGCTAATGATAAAGAATGGCTTCTATGCAGAAGGTTCTTGGTGATATGTGAGAACCATGTATATATTTCATTCTTTTATCTTATCATCTAACCATCTTTTCAGGCTTTGTATTACCCAGGAGCATGGACTATGTATAAGTTCTGCTTCCCTAAACCATAGTGCCTGCTAGAATTTCACTCCCTTGACAGGTACCCAAAATATAAATAAGAGGCATTAACTGGCCTGGCTTGAGCCTGAGTCATTCTTGTATTACTACTATAACATGTCGTTAGTGATGAGTCTGCTACCTGATGGTCTGCTCTCCAGGGTGATTCTACATCCTGCCATTCCAGTCATTCCAGGCAAGATGAGAGAACACTGGGAAATATCATAGTGGTCAAGTCTTCTTTGCCCCTTTCTACTTTCATGGGTATCAGGCAAATACCTGATTCTTTTCCTAGCTCTGTTCCTTAGGGCTTTTAAAAGTTCTTATGCCTTGGCCAGTGTGGCTCAGTTGGTTGGAGCATCATCCCATAACCAAAAGGTTAAGGGTTCAATCCCAGGTCAGGGCACATATGACAGGCAATCAATTGATGCTTCTCTTTTGCATCAATATTTCTCTCTTTCTTCCGCTCTCTCTCTAAAAAGGCAATAAAAAAGTCCTCAGGTGAGAATAAAAAAAAAAGTTCTTGTTATTCAAGTACAATAGGGATTATGATAAAACTTTCGCACATTGTTAGCTATTAATGTACCTCAGTTACTCAACACGTATAAATAATAAATGCAATTATTCACTTATACTGTAGAACTGTGTCCTCTCAAAAATGATAACTATATACAAATGTAGAACTACACACATAATAGTCTCTCACATTCAATCAAAAGTAAATGTCAATGTTCTCGTTATTTGCTTTTCTGCCCAAACAATTTAAACAGTGGCAATCTGAGTTTTGACATGGAAGAGAAATAATAATAAAGACAGGGATACAGATGGTAGTGATACTTAAGAAGTGAGGAAGGAAGAATAATGAAAATAGGGCAAGAACTAACATCTGCATAAAGCACCTTTTACAGGATAGGCACTTGTGCAAACCTATGGGGGCAGAGGATACTGTCTTCACTTGACAGATAAAGACACTAGTGCTCCAACAGATTAAACAATTACCCAAGGTTATGAAGTTAGACAGCGACCAGTTTTGGGGGAGAAGAGAGTAAGGAGAACAGCAAAGGCAAACAGCACAGGACAAGGAAGTGAATGAGACAGTGAACCAGTTCTATCTGGAGAACCAATTAAAAAAAGACAGCACTCAGGCAAAGAGGTTGACTGAGTTCAGGAGTAAATGGTTCCTCGCAAATGTGCCTATGCATTTTTAAAGTGCATAATATGATTATAAATGCTAATTTTTAAAAAGTAACGGTAGAGCCAGGATTTGTCTGACTCTAACATTTGGTCGCTCTTCACCCACTACACTCACAGAGAAACTAACCCCATTACACAAACAGGTATTTACGAAAACATTTTAACAGGAAATCTCATGTCAGTTTTATTTTTAAAACTACATTACGCTTCCAACAACAAAGCGGGACATAAAAATATGTAATAGTTAAGCCACTTAATCTTTTCTTTATGAATATGACACAGATCTAATCTAAGGGGTTACAGACATGCCACAAAATTCCCAGATTCTCTGTCATCACTCATACATTTATTTTCTCCAGAAATGCATTCTCAACTTTCTGAAACCGTTCTATATTTTCAATCTGAAGCAAAGCTAAGAAATTCCTTTGTTCATTCCCTACTGTTTAAAGTAACATCTTTTATTTTCCTCAAGAAACTTTTTCTAGCTCAGTGAAGGTCACCCAGACTCTCTCCAGGTCAGGTAAACTCTACTCTTCCCTTAATGTAGTACCTACCCAGTCACAGTCAATTGTTAAAAAAAAAAAACATCTGAAACTTATTTTTAGAAAAAGAATTAGAATCTAAAATATCTTAGTGCATCTTGAGATTCCTTAAATGGGGACTGTTTGTATTTAAAATGATACCTAATTCCAGAATATCGTAAAAGCTGTATTAAATGGATAAACACTTCACCATATCTCAAGCATACTATACTTAAACATAACAACAATCTCACACCCTCTGTTCACGTTTTAGTTACCTCTTCATCATCATCGTCATCTTCAACATCCAGAATTCCTGAATCCTGTTCAGACTTGGGGCTAGTGCTTTCTAGCTCTGTATCAAAAATTGTATATGCATCTCTCTTAGATTTTCTCTTGCTCCCTATTCTGGGGTGTTGCAAGACGATATTATCCAGGTTTCTTTGCTGCTGGGCCTAGGATAAAGACATACACACAGAGATTTAAAAAAAGAAAAAGGAAAGAAAATAATTAAGCATTCAAAACACTTCTGCTTTTCAAGCCCTGGTCAGGTAGCTCAGTTGATTAGAGAATCGTCCCAATACATCAAAGTTGCGGGTTCAATCCCTGGTCAGGGCACACACAAGAAGCAACCAATAAATGCATGAATGCATAAATAAGTGGAACAACAAGTCAATGTCTCTTTCACTTCCTCTTTCCCTCACTTTATCTTTCTTTAATATCAATAAAATTTTTTTAAAAACTTGGTTTTCAACAAATTGGTATTTTAAAGAAAATACAATAAAATTAATACAGTTTTAGTTCCAGAAATAAAGCCAAACATATTAATGTATACATTTTTAACCCTGAAGTTACCCCTTTTAATTCATTTTTCCAGTTTCCATAGGGGAAAAAAAAGATAGTCAATACTATCTATTTTCAAATATAATCACTAGATCATCACAAAAAAATGAAATCTACCTATTTTCCTCTAAGTAGCCAAGAGACTGGTACAAATGACCAAACATTTACATCTCACAAGATAAAATGCCACGCTGGAACCATGTGGTGGGGGAGGCAGACAGAGCCTCAGCTTTGGGGACTCTTTCACAGGTGTGTGGATCTAAGTAAGAGACCAACACAATTCTCCTGTTTAAGAAAATAACATACCGACTTCCAGCCAAGATGGAGGTGTAGGTAGACACACTGTGCCCCCTCACACAACCAAAATTAAGGAAAACAAAAATTTAGACACAATAAAACAACCAGAACTGACAGAAAATTAAACTGTATGGAAATCCGACAACCATTTATCCAAACGAGTAAGAGGGATGAAGTTAGTGGCTAGTGGAGAGGGGTCAGGGCAGGAAAAGGTGGTGGCTGGCAGACCTGGGCGCAGGGTGGCAACGAGCAGACCCAGTGAGGCGCACAAGGCAGCTGGCTGACTGCAGACACACATTTGTGTGCAGATAAACCAGACGAAAATGGGCAGCGAGATAGACTGTACAACCCAGCATCCCAGTGCCAGGAAATAAAGCCTAAAAGCACCAATTGAAAATACTTGTGGGGGTTGAGGCACCAGGAGAGACTCCCAGCCTCACAGGAGAGGTGGTTGGAGAGACCCACAAGGTCCTAGAATATACACGAGCCCACCCATCCAGGAACCAGCACCAGAAGGGCCCAATTTGCTTGAGGGAAGTGGCAGAAGGGACTAAAATCTGAGAGAGAGCAGAGCAAGAGCCATTGTTCCCTCTCTGACCCCGCCCCTACATACAGTGTCACAACCCAGAGATGTGGATTGCCCCACCCTGGTGAACACCTAAGGCTCCGCCCCTCACTAGGTAACAGGCGCAACCAGACCAGGAAAAAAAACAGCTCAAACGGAAAAACAGATCAGAGTCCCAGAGCCAATACTTTTAAGCAACCAAGAGATAGCCAACCTATACAATATACAGTTCAAAGCACTGGTGATCAGGATACTCACAGAATTGGTTGATTTTGGTCACAAATTAGATGAAGAAATGAGGGCGACACTAAGTGAAATAAAGAAAAATGCACAGGAAACCAATAATGATGAGAAGGAAACTGGGACTCAAATCAATGGAGTGGACCAGAAGGAAGAAAGAAATGACCAAACAGAAAAGAATGAAGAAATAAGAATTCAAAAAAAATGAGGAGAGGCTTAGGAACCTCCAGGACATCTTTAAACATTCCAACATCCAAATAGAGGTACCAGAAGGGGAAGAGGAACACCCACGAGTGGAACACTTATTTGAACAAATAATAAAGGAGAACTTCCCCAATCTGGCAAACGTAATAAACTTCCAGAAAGTCCAGGAAGCTCAGAAAGTCCCAAAGAAGGTGGACCCAAGGAGGAACACACTAGAGCACATCATAATTACACTACCCAAGATTAAACTGAAGGAAAGAATTCTAGAAGCAGCAAGAGATAAGGGGATAGTCACCTACAAAGGAGTTCCCATCAGACTTTCAGCTGATTTCTCAAAAGAGACCTTACAGGCAAGAAGGGGCTAGAAAGTATTCCAAGTCATGCAATGCAGGCAAGGAGCTACATCCAAGATTGTTCTATCCAGCAAAGCTTTCATTTAGAATGGAAGGGCAGATAAAGTGCTTCTCAGATAAGGTCAAGTTGAAGGAGTTCATTATCACCAAGCCCTTATTATATGAAATGTTAAAGGGACTTATTTAAGAAAAAGAAGATAAAAAGCATGAACAGTAAAAAGACAGCAAACTCACAGTTATTAACAACCACACCTAAAATAAAAGCAAACTAAGCAAACAACTAGAACAGGAGCAGAACATCAGAAATGGAGATCACATGGAGGGGTTAGCAACAGGGGAGTGGGAGGAGGAGAGAAGGGAAAAAGATACAGAGAATAAGTAGCATAGATGGTAGGTGGAAAATAGACAGGGGGAGGGCAAGAATAGTATGGGAAATGCAGAGGCTAAAGAACTTATGACCCATGGACATGAACTAAAGGGGGGCAATGTGGGTGGGAGGGGGTGTACAGGGTGAAGGAGAATAAAGGGGGGAAATGGCACAACTATAATAGCATAATCAATAAAACATATTTTAAAAAATAAAATATCTTAGTGCCTTGAACTAATTAATCCAACAGGATTTCATGACCTTAATCTGTGGAAAAGAGAGTTTTTACGGCTCTCTTCTTCTGAACTTTTAGAGAAAAGAAAGTGTAATCCCCTCATCTTAAAAAAATAGATTTAAATGATGATGTGATTTCAACAGATACAAAACGTCATTTTCCAGAGTCAACAACTGAAATACTAAACCAGACAGTATTAGAGCTGGAAGTGACCATGGTCACTACTCAGGAAACTGAGGCGAAGACAAAAGGATCTGGGTGGGGTCTAGTTAGTAGTAAATCAGAATCTCAAAGTGTGACCTTCTAAATTCCACACCCATGATCTCTCCGCAATGCCAACAGTCCCTTAAAGCATGGCAACCTGTTTCCCAAGAAGGGGCAACGGGTTTTATGATCAGATAAATGGGAACCACTGCATATCATGTAGCCTTCTTGTAGATTTATAGAGCTTATTAACAAAGTCAACACTGGGATAAGTCCATTTTAAGAAAATTCTTTAAGCCCTGGCTGGTGTAGCTCAGTGAATTGAGCGCGGGCCTGCGAACCACACCATCGCGGTTCGATTCCCAGTCAGGGCACATGCCTGGGTTGCAGGCCGGTTCCCTGCAGGCCAGCTCCCAGCAGGAGACAAAAGAAAGGCAACCATACATTGAAGGGAAAAAAAAATTCTTTAATTTGATTTAACTCAGCAAGTTTCAGAAGTATTTCACAATGGAACTTTCCCTTAAAAAAAATACTCAGTATCATCCTAAAATACAAAGCTTGAAAAATGTGACTTCTCAGAATATATATTCCTTAATAAGTATATGATATTTCTCTCTGCAACAGGAGAAAATCAGTTTCCAAATGTTCTGAATAAGATTAAGGAATTCAAGACAAATATTAAGTATAAGATGTTAGTCCAGGCACTGGTTAAATGAGACAATTATAATAAGCCAGAGAAAAACTTAAACTATGTGAGCTAGTTTCTGCCAAGAAAATGAAAAGAATCTACATTCCAGAGATTTTAATCAATGGACAAACTTGTTTCTTTACATAGTACTCGTTGAGATTTTGCTTTGACTTACATAAAATACGTGGCTTTGAGAACAAACCAAGGCAGAAAAGGCATTCAAAAACATTTCATTTAGGTTTGTACATTATACATACATATCCTTCAAGCATTAGAAACCCCAAATTAGATGCAATGTTCTTTCTTTTCTTCTCACAAGCAACAAGTAATCTTCCCTATTACTTCTAAAGCAAAACATAAAAAGGGATCAAAGTCTGGGGAGGAAAAAACAGAGAACTTCCTAAAGCTTCCATATTTTAAAAGTCTGCCCTTTAACTCCATTCTCTCTCTCAGTACAGTATTACCAAAAGCTTTCATAAGTTGGTCTTATTCTATTGAATCCCAAGTTAATTAGTTTTCTTTCACAGTCAATAAAATAGTGCCAGTGTACCAAAGCAATCAACAGAAGCCACATTTAAAATACTTTCATTTAAACTTGGAATGATACAAATCTAAAAGTATACTATGGAAGTAATTTTAGCTCTCCTATGATTTGCTCTTAAGTGATATTGTCTGGTTTTCCCATCAATTTGGAGGAGTGCAAATTAAGATAGCAAACCCTATGTAAGAAATCAAAGCATTTCAAGTAGTATTTCAAAGCACTATCAGAACCTGAGGTCTCTGTTAAAATTATCAAGGCTTTTCCAGTGCATAAAGAAACAGGGCAAATCTGCCAAGCAAGAACTGGCCAAGTTAGAAACACTGAATCCCAGATAGAACAATAAAATAAATACTCATATGTTATCCATTATGGCTGCAAATAAAAGTCACCACCGATTGAGAATGTTATGGGACTGGCAAGAAGTGGAGAAGAGTAAATACAGATATAAACATATAAACATACATAATATATGGGGCATGTCTGGAAAAAGTCTAGCCATTGTTAATATGAGAATGGTTTGCATGACATCGATGTAACCTGGCAGCCAAGGAGAGTAGACTGGAACGCACATGTGCGAACAATGATGACTTCACTGTACTAGTCAGTGGGGGTGGCAGACACCGCGAGTGAGCATGTGCACTATGTGGCCTTTGCATTCAAAATGACTCAGTGAGTAGAGCAACCAATCAGCATCAAATTTTGTGTTAAGCTTGAACATTCATCCACTGAAGCTATATTTGGATGATTCAAAAGGCTGCAAGCTATGGGCAACTGGTGATTGGCAGCTTCATCACGACAACATACCAACTCATGCCTCGTGTCTCATGCAAAGATTTTTGGCAAAATATCAAATCACCCAGGTGACTCAGCCCCACTACAGCCCAGATTTGGTGCCCCGCAACATCTGGCTTTTCCCAA